GGGCGCGAGGACAGCAGCCTCTTATATCCACAAAGAGCCCTCGCATGTGTGCCCAAGGCCGCAGGCCACCACCCCTGCACCGACCTCCGGCCCAGGCGCCAGCCTAGCGCTCCTCTTGCAATCTCTATTCAGGAGTCACAGAGGCGCGGGGGTAGGGAGGGCTGAGTAGGGGAGGCAGCGTTTGCACAGCCAGGACACCTGTGCGCCCAGCAGACGTCGGGACTGCCAGGCTCTGGCACCCAAAGCCACCCACCTGCCAGAACGTAGCCCCGCGCACCTGCCCAGCGACGCCTCGGTCTCCAGCCGCTGTCGGTCCCACCAGAGTCCCAGATCCGCGGTCTAGTGCCCGCCACGTGACCGCCGCACCGGCCCAAACCCTGAACTTGGCGCGCTGAGACTCGCTTTGCACCGGCTGCTCCCGGCACGCCCCGCCCCGGCCTTGCCCGCCCCCGGAGACACCCAATCAGAGCGCGCAACCAGTCAGAGCCCGGCCCTCAAGCGCTCCGGCTCTATTGGCTGAAGCGGAGCGGTGGGCGGGGCTGGCTCCTCCCGGGACGGGCTGTGGGAGCTTGCGCCCTGGCTGCAGGCCAGGTGGGAAGGGCGGGGGCTTCCCGGGAGATAGCAGAGGGCCTGCGCCTTCTAACCCGTAGGCCGCCGGGGCAGTGGGATGATGGGTGAAAGTTGTTACTTCTGTTTAAAATTTCCACGGTCCTACTTCCAGTTAGCTCAGTAGTTACTTAAACCGGATGAACGTGGGTTTGAGCCGCAACACTGTTACTCTGTAGCTAGCGACCCCTGGACCAGTGGTTTCACGTTTTGAGTTTCATGATTCTCATCACTGAAGTGGAGTGATGATAGCAGTCTGACCAGGCATATCTAAAACTCTGAGCCTTGGGCCTGGCACATCATAAGGAATGACTTAGATTTTGGGGGCCAACCGTTGGCATTGGTTAAGGTGGCTGGGTGGCCAACTGCGCATTTGAGTCGTGGACCCAGTGGCCTGAGAAACACGTAGGATGACTGTGTGTACCCCAAATCCCAAAAGAAGGGCTGGAGAAGAGATCGCGTGACCATCTCCAGCGGGGGTGCCTCCTCATTTTCCCGACTCCCTCACAGCAGAAAGTGTGTATGCCCTCTAGCAAAAAGCTTTTTCAGGTTTTTGCCATAGGACATGTGCACTTGCTGGAGAGAGACAGGGAAAGGGAGAAGTCACCACCACCACCCCAGGATAGATGGCCACTCCGCAGTGATTTTCAGGCTGTCAGGCCTGGGACTCAAACCCATCCATGTCGGAGTCCAGCACCTTAACCACTATGCAACCTGCTGGCCCCAGCTAGTGTAGTATTGCATCTTTGGGTCTTTCCATTTCTATTGCAAGGGTTTTTTGCTTTTTAGGGTTTTTTTTTGTTTTTCAAAATAATTTTCTCCAGTTTCTCCGGGAAGCAGTTGCTCAGATATTCACACTATCTTGCCAGAAGTAGAATTCAACAAGATGAACCTGAAATGCATTTTACTAAGTGAAAGAAACAGACACAAAACGCTACAGTCAAGAAACTCCATACCACAAGAGGGCAACTGTATTTCAAAACTGTAGGAATAAAAATCTGTGTGAGTGATTGTCAGGAGTGGGCGTAGGGGGAGGGTGTGCAGGAGGGAATCTGGGGGTTGTTGGAATTTTCTGTGTGGCCCTGTGGCGATGAACACAGGACTATATGTTTTGTTATGGACGTTTTGTTATGTGTCCCCCACATTCACATGTTGGAACTCCAACTCCCAATGTGGCAATTTGGAGACAGGGTCTCTAAGGAGGTCATTAAATGTGGTCATGAGGTAGGTGGTGGGTGGTTAAGGCGCTGGATCCCACATGGCCGGCTGTGCGGTCCCTGGTGAAGGGACGAGGTGGAGGGAAAGGATAATGGCATGGCCATCCCTTCTGGGGGATGATTTCTGCCTCTCTATCTGACTCTCTCTGGCAAGCTCACATGCTCATGGCAAAAACAAAGCAAAAATTCACTAGGATCCTCATCCAATCGATGTCCTCGTAAGAAATGGTCATACAAATATCCCTTTTCGCCCATTTCCCATTCTGTCAGGATCTGGGACATGTACTCACTCAAGCCCAGCACGTTTTCCAGGCCCTGAGGCCAGGAATCAAACTGTGCTCAGCCATGTAGGATCTGGTTCCCAAGGCTCAGTGCTTAAACTCTGTGCCAAGGGCCTGGCCCCCAAGTAATTTTTTTTCCTTTTTTCTTGAGAGGTTTTTGCTATAGGGCGTGTGCTCACTAGAAAGACAGAGAGAGACGGAGAGACAGAAAGCAAGAAATCACCCCTCACGGGGGATGGCCACGCCGCAATCCCTTCTCCTCCATTCTCATCTCGCGATCTTGGGCACGCACGTACATGTGCCCGGCATGAGTTAAAGCCACTGGGTCCGGGACGCGAATTGCAGTCGGCTTCATAGGAGTCCAGAGACATAGCCATTACGCTAACTGCTGGACCCCCAAGTAATTTAAAAAAATTTTTTTTGAGAGATTTTTGCTACAGGCTGCATGCACTTGCCAGAGAGATGAGAGACAAAAAGTGAGAAATCACCCCCCAGGGGGGATGGCCAGCTGCAATCCCTTCTCCTCCATTCTCCTCTTGGGATCTTGGGCACGCACACACATGTGCCTGGCATGAGTTTTAAGCTGCCAGGTCCAGGACTCAAACCACTGTTGACTACGTGGGAGTTCAGCAATGTAACCATTACGCTATCTGCTGGTCCCACTCAAGTGATTTTTGACATGGAAGTCAACATATTGCAATGAAGAAAAGATACGCTTTTCTTTTTCTTTCTTTCTTTCTTTTTTCTATAGAGTGTTTGCACTTGCCAGAGAGAAAGAGAAAGTGAGACGTCACCCCCGAGGGAGGATGGCCATGCTGGAATCCCCTCTGCAGTCTTCTGAGCACGTCCACGTCCACCCAGTGTGATTTTCAAGCCTCCAGGGCCAGGACGTGAACCTCACGGCTGGCCATATGGGACTCAGCACCTTAACCTCCAGGCCACCTCTGCCCTGGAAAAGATGTTCTCTTTAAGAAATAGTGCCAGAACAGCTGGATATGCAAACAAGTGAGGAAAATGAACTTTGACCCTTACCTCACAGCATACACAAACATTTATTTTAGACTTTGACCTATGTGAAAAGTTAATACTATAAAGGTTTCTAGGAAAAAGTCATAGAAGAAAACCTTTAAAATCCAGATAGACAAAGATTTCTTAGATAATACAGTGGGACGAGCGGATGGCTTAATGGTTATGTTGCTGGACTCCCACGTAATCGATCGTGGTTTGAGTCCCAGACCCAGTGGCTTAAAACTCATGCCAGGCATGTGCGTGTGCGTGACCAAAATCCTGAGAGGAGAATGGAGGAGAAGGGATTGAGTTGTGGCCATCCCCCCTGGGGGTGATTACTCGCTTTCTGTCTCTCTGTCTCTCCAGGAGTGCGTGTGCCCTATAGCAAAAAACAAACAAACAAAAACTCTCTATGAGAGAGAGAGAGAGAAGACAATACAGAAACAGCATGAACTACAATAGAAAAAATAAATAAATAACTTCATCGAAATGAAAAATCTCTGCTCCCTGAAAATCACCTTTAAGAAAATGAAAACGGGCCAGTAGGTGGCGTGGTGATTAAAGTGCTGGACTCCCATATGGATGGATGACTGTGGTTTGAGTCCCAGACCTGGCAGCTTGCTTTCTCACTTTCTCTTTCTCTCTCTGGTGAGCCCACATGGTCTGTAGCAAATTCAAAATAATACTAATGATAAAATCCAATAATCCTTTAAAAAGAAAGTGAGCACAGGGCCGGACAGTGACAGGTGGTAAAACACAGTGTCTGCAAGGCTGACCCCAGTAAGAAAGATCTGGGTCCACACCCAGAGACCTCACAGAGGACCCCAGGCATGCAAGTACCCATGGGGTGGCCCTGGCTGAGGCTGGGGGTGGATCACAGTGTCGAGACCCTGTTGGAGGAGCTGTCTTGCTGTCTCGCTGTCTTGCTGTCTCTCTGGATTTCTCACTAATGTAAGAAAGAAATAAATACACTTAAAAAAGGAAAAGAGGGTCCAGGAAGTCGCATGGTGGTTAAGGCTGCTGGATCCCACATGGCTGACTGTAATTCAAGCCACAGACCCGGTGGCTTAAAAACACGCCAGCTGGGGTCAGCAGGTAGCCTGGTGATTAAGGCATTAGACTTCCACATGGTCAAATTGCAGTTTAAGTCCCAAGACCTGGTGGCTTGAAAATCATGCCAGGCACATGTGCGTGCACGACCAAAATCCCAGGAGGATAATGGAGGAGAAGGAACTGCAATGTGGCCATCCCCCAGGGGGTGATTTCTCACTTTCCATCTCATTGTCTCTCTCTCTCCAGGAGCGCATGCACCCTATGGCAAAAATCTTTATTTTATTTTATTATTTTTTGTCCAAACAGTGTCTGGACAACCTCACTTAGCTCGCCTTTCGAGGGCCATCTATCTGCCCAGCCGGCCTCCCCACCCTCATAGCCATCCAGCCCCATTAGCACTGAAAGCTTCGGAAACATTAAACTCTTCCTGGGTCACGGCACAGGCCATGCTGCGGGGCGCCCCCCCCTTCCCCAAATCACAAGGATCAAGGTCCGTGCTGTCCGACGCTGAAACGGGCAGGGGTGCTCATGCAGAGGGACCAGAAATGTGGTCCGTACCACCTGCTGCTTTACAAAGAGACAGAAAGTTGGTGCATGAGGAAGGAGATGTACTCAGGTGAGGTCGGCCTCGGGAAGAGAGCGGGTCGTCCGTAACTGTGTCCTCCACACTGAATGTGATAGACAGCCGACGCAGGGCAGAGGCACAGCAGGAAACAAAGGGCAGAAGAGGAAAGCTTGCTCTCTGTCACTCTCTGCTCTCTGCCCTGGGAGAGTACGATGAGGGTGGCCATCTGCAAACCAGAAAGAGGGTCCTCCCAGACACTGGGCCCACCAGGCCTTGATCTGGCCTTCCCAGCCTCCAGAACCGTCTGCTCTCAGCTGTCCGAGGGTATAGACTTTGGACAAGTGTACGCCCGGGGGAGGGTGTGTTTGTACCCATCTGGCTAATTCTGGCATCTGCCGTTGCCCATCTTCTTCTGCCATTACTGCAACTGGCGGAAGCCTGGAAGGCTCCGGGCCACATTCACTCTCTTTGCTTCAACTACATTGTCAAATCTCTGTCCAGGGGAGCAGCCAGATGGCGTAATGGTTACGTCACTGGACTCCCACATAGTCAACCGTGGTTCGAGTCCTGGACCTGGCGGCTTGAAGCTCACACTGGGCACACACTGTGCATGCCCAAGATCCCAAGAGGAGAATGGAGGAGAAGGGATTGTAGTGTGGACGATTTCTCACTTTCTGTCTCTCTG